TTTTTTTTTTTTTTTTTTTTTTTTTTAACCCCCTTCCCCCTGCAGTGCTAGTGGCGCTGATGAAGCAGACACCACTAGCACCCGGGGAGGGGCTCCATCTATTGGTGGGGAGCATCACCTGCTGGAAAACGGGTCCAGCGTCCCATATACAGAGTGAATACCAAAAACTGAGAAAAGAAGCCTGCCAGCATTGCCCACAGTACACTTCCTAAAGTCGATGCGAGCGTGCCCGTTAACAGAAGAGAGAGAGAGAGAGAGTCAACATGCTCATGACTCGTGACTAGTTCAGAAAGCTAGCACTGACCAGTGACCCCACAACATCCTGCAAATGAATAACATGGTTAAACCCGCGGTACTTTCTAAAGCCGTGCCCATTAAACCACCAGTACTTGGCCCATACATGGGCCGCGGCCCTTTCCCGTTGAAGGGCCGCAGTTTTCGGTGTTCGGGGAAGGCCCGGCAGTGCGATGGAGGAGGACATGCGTGGGCCCACAGAAACGGGGCAAATGGACTGTAAGATGTCCTGGTGCTGTGCTATGTGGAAACGAGCGGAGTCTGAAGGCGACGAGGGGGAAAAGAGGAAAGAACAGGAAATCATTGTTTTTCCTTCTTTTTCTTTGTTTTTGGGAAGAGAACTCATTTTTCATGAGTGTACGCCAGCCCTTCGGATTTCAGGGCTTCCCTGTAACGTTAGCACTTCTTAGAATGTATCTGGCTGCACTTGTGGGCACAGTGGATGTATCTGAGGGAAATCACGTTCAGAGCTTGGTATCTCTTTTCCTCTTTTTTTTTTTTTTTTTTTTTTTGGAAGCAGTATCTCGGCTACCTCGGCTGTTTGTGCTTCTGCTCCCCATGAGAGACGGGAAGCATTCAATGCGTGCCAACCGTTTCAATTCCAGGGCTTCAATGTGACGTAGCACTTTTCTGAATGTATCTGGCTGCACTTTGGTGCAGCAGAGGATGTATCTGAGGGCAATCACGTTCAGAGCTTGGTATCTCTTTTCCTCTTTTTTTTTTTTTTTTTTTTTTTTTTTTTTTTTTGGAAGCAGTATCTCGGCTATCTCAGCTGTTTGTGCTTCTGCTCCCCGTGAGAGACGGGGAGCATTCAATGCTTGCCAACCGTTCCAATTCCAGGGCTTCAATGTGACGTGGCACTTTTCTGAATGTATCTGGCTGCACTTCGGTGCAGCAGAGGATGTATCTGAGGGCAATCACGTTCAGAGCTGGGTACCTCTTTTCCCTTCTTTTTTCTTTTTCTTTTTTTTTCCTTTTTGACTTTCCAGAATGTACCTCTGGCTGCACTTCGCTGCAGCAGTGGATGTGTCTGAGGGCAATCACGTTCAGAGCTTGGTACCTCTTTTCCTTTTCTTTTTGTTGTTTTTTTGTTTTCCTTTTGAAGACTCTTGGCTGTTTGTGCTTCTGCTCCCCGCGAGAGGCGGGCAGCATTCAACGAGATCTTTCAAGACGGATCTGGCTGCACTTCTTCCCAGGGGAAAGGTCCCACTTGCGCAAATTAGGAGATTTCGGCCGTTGATCTTTGCTATCTACGGTCAGTATCTCTTAATTCGTGCAAGTGGGACCTAGCCCCTGGCAATTTTCATGTACATGAGTGGAAACGAGAAAACTATCACCTCTTTACATTCCAGCTGCTGGCAGCAGATCCAGAATAAGGGCGGTACCCGTGCCAAGCACCAATTGTCCCATGTTGGTTCCCCTCCCCCCCCCACCCCCCTCCTGCAGGCTCGGCAAAAATCGGCGCGCAGGGCATATTCAGGCTCGGCTTCAGTAGCTGGGCCAAGTACTGGTGGTTTAACACGCCACGATTTTAGGAACGTACGGGCCACTACAGGAGCGCCCACATTCATCCGACTAGAAACCTTTGTACCTAGGCTACCAGAGTGGCCCGGGACCACCTGCCCGGGCGGGCCAAAAAAAATAAGAAAAATAAAAATTGTAAAATGCTAATAATAATAATAGGAAATTTTTTTATTTTTTTTAATTAAATTTGGTAAGCAATTTCGATAAGACCCTGAGGCAAACGTTGTTCGGTTTATTTTTCTGCATAACATAGTTTTTTTTTTCAGATCTTTTAGATTTTATTATTATTATTATTATTTTTTTTTAATTTGGTAAGCAATTTCGATG